CCAATCTCTCTGAAAAGAGATGGGGGGAAAAATCCTCATAACAATAAAAGGCTCATTGTCTTTTATATATAAAATTTATCTTCAAGTAAAATTTCACACTTTGGTCAAAATGTAGAAGGAACACAGACATATCAAACTTGAAAATCCTGGATCTTGATTTCCCCCCTCTCATATGTGATGGAGATTTCTGTTATTCTAGGAATCAAATGTCTAGTGTCAAACAAAATCATCAGTTAATATAACAGAATACAAGAAATGGATAATCAAAAGAGAAAACAAAATTGACATGCCAAAATGAAAATGTACCTCCCAATAATTTGAATTTTTACTGTTTACCTGAACAGGAATAAAGGAGCCACAGTATCTAACTGAAAAGAGTGGATACACTGTTCGTGGGCATGCAAATTGGCACCGCCACTATGGAAAATAGTATGGTGGTTCCTCAGAAAAGCAAAAATGTAACTACCATATGATCCCGCAAGCTCCACTGAGTCTAGAGCTGAAGGAAATACAGTCACTATCTCCAAGAGCTATCTGCACCCTGGGTTCATTTTAGCATTATTTACAATAGCCAAGACCTGGAAGCAACCTCAGTGTCCATCAAGGGAAGAATGCATAAAGAAAATGTAGTGTATATACAATGGAATATTCGGCCATTAAAAAAAAGGAAGAACATCCTGTCATTTGCAACCACATGAATGAACCCTGACTGAAAAAGTCAGATGGGAAAGACAAACATTGTATGATCTCATTTACAAGTGGAATCTAAAAAAAACCCCAAACAGAACAGATTAGTGATTTTGGGGGGAGAAAAGGGGAAGAAGGGAGGGATTGGTGAAGGTGGCCAAAGCATACAAACTGCCAGTTATAAGATGAATAACTTCTGGGGACATACTGTACAGCAGACTGACTATAATTAACAATACTGCACTGTATATTGTATATTTGAAAGTTATGAGATTTGTAAAATTCTCATCACAAAACAAATTGCAACTATGTTAGCTTATGAATGCTTGTGGTAATTATTTTGCAATATATACATATAAAAAATCACTACATTGTACATATTGTTATATGTCAATTATATCTCAATAAAGCTGGGGGAGGGGGACAGTAGAAAGAAATTAATATGCTGCCCACAGCAAGCTTTAGAAATCAGTATGTTATGCTAAAGAAGCCCAAAAGGGGAATCTGACTGCACACAGCTGTGTAATAAATCAATTTGTTACCGTGACAGTCATCTCAAAAGTAGAGCAACGGTTGACAGACAACAAAGAAGTCAGATTAGACCCAGGGGCAATATATAACAGAGCGCCACAAAGTTTCTGTTTCGTTTTTTATTTTAGAACAAGTCAGTTAAATCAATCATTAGGAAATAAATGATTCAAAATAGACTTTCAGATGCATTATTCTAATTTTGACATCATTAACCAGTCAATAGATCTCTGAAAGGTTTTCAGGAATTTCTTTATTTGACAAATATTATGGAATGCACACTATGTGTACACTATTGTCATAGATGCCAGGAATACAATGAAAAGCAAAAACAGAGCTGCTGCTTTTATGGAGGAGATATTAACCTTAAAACAATAACAGACAAAAAGTAGAAGAGTATTGTGCTGGAAGAAAAGAGACATAATGCTATGACAGTCTCTCTGGATGAAATCTGGGTAACCCGGGAGAGGAAAGGCAGTGACCCTGGAAGGAAAGAGCTGAGAAAGGGGAAGGATTAGGTAAGTGTGTCTGCCTACGTGGGGGCTGGGGGGTTCTGGCTCACTAGCCTGTGACAAGAGCAAGTGCAAAGGCCCTGAAGCAAATAGTAACCTGGGCAATGTAACTAAACGTCCATCACGCTGAGCTCCTATAAACGAAATAAAAATAAGGCCAGAAAGAAGGAGCTGGGGCAAAAAAGCTGGTTTTGACATGCATGAGGTTAAACCTTAGCTAGTGATACATTCTAAATAATACCCATTTGTCAATAAAATCTCATTCTTCTCAGACCACATAATCTGATTATTGACCTGTTCCCCTAGGACAGGGGTGGGGAACATCCAGCCTGCAGGCCTTATCATTCAGTCTGGCCCTGCTAAGGCATTAGGGGTGAATTAATTAAATGTCTGACCAATATAGCAGGCTACTTTTTAAGTTGATAATTTTGTATGGCCCTCGAATGATGTCAGAAATATCCAAATAACCTGTGGCAGAGAAAAGGCTCCCCACCCCTACCCTAGGTAAGTAGTACAGTTACATAACAGTCTATTTTTATCCTCATGGCATCACTCACTACTGGGCTCATTCTTAATGACATTTTGAGAGGTACCTATAATTTACACTTAATCTGAATATTAAAACCAATTCAGAAGAGTAAAAAGCCAAAAGAAAAATCTGTGCTTTATACCTTAAAGAAACAAATGAGCATAAAAGATCTACTATTCAACAACTAATAATCTACTGAAGAAACCCCTTATGATGTCCCAGAGTTCCCACCTAAACATCAAGATACAACTAAACAGACTAACTCTCTGCCCCTGGGGGAGGATAATGGTTTTTCATCACTAACAAAAGGTGTTATTGTAGTACTCTGCACCGAGAATGAAAAAGACCAGAAAGGAAGACAAAGGAAAGAAAAAAAATCCAGTCCCATCTGGGAATCTAATCACAGTACCCGACTTCTGATTCTTCAGTTTAGGTATTCTAAAGAATAGGCAATGTTTAACAACCCTCCATTTAGAAAGAAACTTTTTAAAGAAGGCAACCAAGTCACTTAGCTTCTAATGCCCCCCCCCCCCAAAAAGAAAGGAAACCACTGAGGAAGTCAAAGACAGTCTCCTTACTACAGAGCCAAGCACCCACCAAACCTGGCAGGGTACAGACCCCACGGCACAGCTACATCACCCACCCAAGCACAAGGAACCCTGCACAAAGTGGTCATGCCCTGAATGCCCTAGAAAACGTTCAAACCCGTTTTGGTTTCTATAGATCCTTTATAACAACACATTTAGTCCAAAGAGATCTAGATTT